TAGATAATGCATTGGTCTTGCCTATCATTGCCTTTAGAGGATTTTCTTGAATGGGTCTAACAAGCTCTTTGTTCTATCTTGTCTATTTAGATTCGCTTTCCTTCTGCAACTACAATTATGGTCTTTTCTACAGGGATCTAATTCTAAAGGCAAAATATTGATTGCAAGACATATAAATGTTTCTTGATTTATCATTTTCTAATTTTCATCCAGTAAATGGTTATCTTGGTGAGAATTATATTTGACGGATGGCTTGAAATTTTAGTTTTCATGTTTTACTGTTACGGGTTATGTTAAACAATGAGTTCTGTTAAAAGTTTACTACCGCATACAATATATGAATGTCATGTAACCGAATAGTACTACTACACTTTAATTATAACAATTAGTATGGTTCATAACAATGCTTAAGGTAAAATATTTTTTTGTAGTTGAATTTGTTGGAAAGGTAACTTTCTTATGTTACATTGTATCTTCTTGTCACTATGTTATCACTATATGTTAACATATAGTGATAAATGTGCAAGTTCAGCATGTACAAAACTGCCCCATCATGTCCCAGTGTGGTTTCTGGGGGTAACGGGTACAAAGGTTGTGACGCAGGGCGCCAACACGGTGTTAAAGGTTAAAACTTTTTCGGTGTAAGTCTTTTGACAACAGTCAGGTTTATTTACTTTCCCCCTAATGTTCATTCTCAAGATTCCATGCTCTCAGCCCCTCTTCACAAACCCGGGTCATGCCGTACATCGCGCACGCCGCTCCCTCGTAATGGTACATGACGAAATGAAAAACTTCCAGGTTTCCGCTAATTCTTTACGCGGAGCGTGTCGCAACACGGGACGAGTGCCGCATGCCCGGAGCAGGTGCCGGGATGCTTGTCCTGTTTCGCCTGGTGGGAACGAAAGGACCACGAATAATTGGCAAACAAGAGTCCCCTCCCAAGTACAATAGGCCGGCATGCTAAGGGTGAACCAAAGCATGACAGCCAAGGAAAAAGAAACCAATCCGCATCCAAACGAGCCACTTGGACACTTCCTTCACATTTTTTCGGCATCTTAATCCGTTTACGTTCTCTCATATTCATTTTCACACCTCTACAGCATTGACATAAGGTACAGATTCTCAGTGAATCTATAGTTATCAAGTATCAGTGTGAGGGGGCCACAAAAATACTCCGCCATTGTGTGCTGCCAATTTGAACTGTAACTGCTGCTCTCTGATTGGTCGGTTGGAGGAAATGTACCCTACCCCGGTAGTAATCCTAGCTACAGTGCAACCCAAAACACCGACTTCTCCGGTTTCAGGTCCGCACCTCTAGAAAATAAAGAACCGCCGGATCGAAACGCCACCTGACTTTATACACGTACTGATCCGAGACGTTAAAACTCGGTGACCACTCTTTGTATCACACTGCTACCTTATAATGCCACCTATATAAAGTAACAACTGCCAGCCTTTGAACTATAAGAATAACATATCTATTTTGTTGACCTCTCCTTGTTTTCACTCTTTTAAACTCCGGATATCATGGAAGACTAACTTCCAAAAGGTCAGCTGTAGCTCGACTTACAAATGACCATCCTTAGATTGACTTAATGTAAGGAAAAATGTCATCCGTTAAGTACTGGTGACCCTGAGAGACAAAAGTTGCAAGAGATCTGATCACATTAGCAAGAATCTCGGGAATGTATTCTTAAAAACAAACACTTGTGGTCCAACCTAGATCTCTTTTTCAAACCTTGAAAATTGTGCAAACTATTTAAACGGACTATGCTATTGAAGGTAAATCTGTTTTTCTTTCCACTCCTTAAGAACAAGTCATCCTGGACAAGAATAGAGCTATCACGTCACCTGAACAGGTAAACAAAAACAGCCAGACAAAACAAACAACAACAATAAATAAAAATTGCAACACAAAAAATTGACAAAATTTGACTTTTCTCTGTCATCATTACTTCAAAAGTCGATCTGTATGTTGTTCAATCATGCATCCAATATTACACTTCAACTTATAATTTCATAGTAGAATATAACTATATGTACAGATATAGTATAATAGTTTCATATAGATATATTGTGTCAAATACTTATCATATGAAAAGAAATGAGGATTTTCTTCTAGATTAGAAGACATGCCTCGTATCAGCATGTTTCCTTTCACTTGTGATCTTTGACCTGAAGCATTAACAACAATAAACAGGGTTGGAATTCTCATAAACCACTAGAACATTTCAGGAATTGTTGTCTCGTAATAGTACACCTTTTTCTGACTACCTGGAAGTATCTCAACCCTTCATAAATCTAACACAGGATTAGAAGTAATGTTTACATATATCCTGCCATCTTGTCATGTCCTATTTCAGTTGGAATGTCTCAAAGTCAAACTAGAATCAGACCTGTACATGTGTATCTGTCATTACTGTTCAATGTAAATTCTTTGTACAGGTGATTTTTCACAATGTAATTGGTCATTTGCATAAGCCTTCAGCTTTTGTCGTTTCCTGTTGATCTAACCTACTTCTCTAAAACATCAAACAATGCAGACCTACCCCGGCCCACACCTGAACACATTACCACGTAGCCAGCACAGACTTTGTTACACTTGTAAATACGTACGACGCTTGGTAAAGATATCTTTTCTATCGTCGGATTAAAAAAAATGGTGGGCCTGCTGTGACAATCTGTGCAGCAGCTTTAGTTGTTTGGTGGGTTTTATCAGGTGAAAAATGCCAGCTGTCACTACCAATTAGTGCCCCACTCAGTCACCAGTACCCTGCTACACCCAGTGTACACTTCTCCAAGACACTATTGGTCCAAGATACCCCGCAGGGGTTAGATTTTCCCATAGTTCATGCCGTTGTGTACGTCTGTTTGGCCGGGAGACGGTCTAGGCGGGGAGGGCGGGCACGCACGGCGCATAGAACGGCAGCCAGGCAGGTGAGGAGGGTTTGCCACAAACTTGACCTCTGTCCGTATGGCCGACATCAAAGGCACGGAGGAGACAGTCTGCCACAAAGGCAGTTTGCCCTGCCTCTGCCGCTGGGCCAACGCCAATTCTCGTTATGACATAATCGCTCAAGAATCCTACAAAACATTACAAATGACATTCTTACAGCCTCACAGAAGGAAAACTTCAATTCCCTGATCGGAACAGTGCTTGATCATGTCTGCATAAACTCAAAATAGACTCCAACAACTCCAGGTCACAATGTGTACATAATAGACCCCCTAATGTGTTACTTATTCCGCCTGACTATTCAGAGGTACACCAATATCCAGAATCTAAAAAGTCCCCATAAAAGGGAAGGCAGATGGTTCCATCTCCCCAGGCATGGCAGGTAGTCAGCTATCACTTCCCCATTATGATGCCCAGCGTGACGCCGATGTCATGCGGTGTTAATCACCATCTGATGGTTTCGCACCCCCAAGCAACGGTCTACTCACTTAAATTGTAGTCGGACACTTTGCGAAGATACTTAGACATAAAGGAAGCAGGGCACGTGAGGATATTTAGCGTAATTTATGGTAAATTCTGTCTGGACCTGTCTTGTTTGTCTTGGCAACAAGACCTAATTAGAAACTAATGTTCTATACACCTGCATTTTTTGCATTCATCCTATGAGCAATTGAGTCAATATATTACATATACTGTACCTCTTAAGGGCATGCCATATGCAACCTTCATTTATTGAGTAATTTTGTGTTATCAGCCTAGCAGCATGAGATATGTGTACAACAAGCTGAATTGCACTGATGTGTACAATCGTATCTGGCAAAAACATCTACACACAAAAATAAAACTCAGGCAATATACAAAATGCCTAACTATAGCATAGGCACAAAGTAACAAGAATGTTCTCAAACAGTATAACAGGATAGACTTGTTATACAAAATAAAGAACATCATCTTAAGTGAATATACGTGAAGACGTGCGAACTGAAGATGTCTTCATGGTTGTCAGGTATTCGGTGCACACCTGTAGGCTATATGGTGCTCAGGGACCAGATCATACCGACAACTATGCCAACCATCCGCAAATATGCCTGTAAGTTGACCTACATACATTTAGCCAAAAGGCTATCTGCCCACAGATCAACTTGACTGGGATCGTTTTGCAGAACTAAGATTGGAAAGATTACTTGTTGAGGAACACCAGACAAAAGGAAAACCTTATATTTGATATATATATATGATTAAATCTTTGGCATTGAATAGTATATTCTATTCTAAGAATATATGGTCTTCTGTTGGTATGTAAGGGCTAATACTTACATGTACATGTACATGTGTTACTATTGTGTAGATGTGAGAATGTTATAAAAATGTGAAATGAAACGTAACATCTATTGTATCCTTACCTTGAGTAGTCTGGATGTATTATATTTCATAATTTACATAAGCTTCCCACTTTTTACCATAAAATAAATTCTAGCAGTATATAACATACAATATATGTGGAACATATTTAACTTGACTGTAGTTAAGTGTGTGTACTTAAAAAAGTTCTTCATGCCATGGTTAGTGTGTACATAGTTAGAGTACAGGTGTGTGTGTCTAAGGAAAACATAGCTCAGCATTCGCTGCCACTGGTTCTTCCATCAGAGGCAAAACATACCCTCTATAATTGCACGTCCTGACCTAGGGTCAGATATCTCCATTAATCAAACAATTTGTTTGCGTAACGCAATACAAGGTGAATGTTGCATTGGCTGTAGTACTGTATGATATAAATGTGAATCTTAAACATCTTAAACATAATCATGATCGAAATCATTCCATCATGAAAGTTCACCTGTGTTCGTAGTTACATGTTTTAAGTTAAAACTTTTGTCCAAACTCAAAGAATTGTTCTCATCTTAACTGACAGGTCTCACTGGGTCAGTCTATTGAAGAAGACCAGAGTGACTGGTTGAAAGCTGTAAAAAGAGAACAATCCTTTGTGTTGAAACAAAAGTTTTAACTTTAAACATGATAGAAATCCCTGTGAATTTTGTCCTACCTTTGCCCATTTTGGATTGAGGTCTCTCGCTTTGACAGCGTCCTGCAAGGCCAGATCAAACTGTCCAGTTTTCACGTAGGCCGCTGACCGGTTGCTGTACAGGATGTAGTTGTTGGGGTCCAGCTCGATGGCCTCGGAGTATAACCGTATGGCGAGGCTGAAGTCGCCGCTCTGGCACGCCGCGTTGCTCTGTCGTACCTTCTCCAGGAATAAGGCCTTTGTGGAACTGTTGGGTTCGTGCATAGTTGTAGGGGGATCTCCCTGGGAATGGGTACAGAACATGGCTTGGTTGAAGAATTATACTGTTCTACAATACTGTTCTATGTTTAGAGGGTTTAAAGACTTTTTTTTCTACATACCTACACTGAAGTTTTGATAAGGTGTAAAAATACAGAGGGGGTTTTGACTGTCTGAAACATGATTATGAGTAATTATATAAGGTTATCATCATGTATTGATAGTATGACTAACCTTTGCAAAACACAGAACAATGGACAATAAAAAGATAGTGAATGACTGTGGGTAAATAACACATTGACCAAAATATCACAATGGTTTTGGGATTAAATAAACTGGATTTTCATTTAAAAATAAAAAATAAAACTGGTTATATTACCAAAATTCAAATCAGCCTTGGCTTGTATACACCTAATAATTCAACAATACTTAAGTTGAAAAAGTACTTTTTTATTAGGTCATCCAGATTTATAGACTGTGAGTTAAGTAGAATTGATTTTGATCACTGAAATGTGTCTTCTTCTTCCATTATCATCACGTCAAGCCCAATAAAACTGCCATCTCCTACCTAATAATGGACCCAAGTTCCATTCAATCTACCTGATGTACCAGTAAATGGGTAAATAATTCATTAAGCAGTAGTTATCCCCACCCCCCCTTGAGTGAAGTGTATACGCTATAGTCATATATAGCTCCAAAACATGAATGTAGTACTGTCCAAACATCATAATTCACAAGAGTAAAACCTAAACTGACTGATCTTTTAAAACATTCGTGGCAGATAATCACAACACAAGCTTTGTCCCATTCTCAACCACATGCTAAGCCCAGAAAAGAAATCTACTCTAGAAGAACAATATAAATGGGTATATTGCCATGGTAGGTAAGCCTGCTATATTTCATAGCCGACTTTTATTATTGACTCCCTCCACACTTTATCTACATTACACTGTCACGCCCCTCAATCCAACTTCTTTAATTACGTCCTACCTAGCAACTTTCTCTGAAAAGTTGCAGATTAATACTCCTGTGGTGTCTTTCTTTCCCCATTTGTTTCTTTCAGTGCGTTAACGTACTTAGTGATCATCGAGTTTCAAAGCTACGGCACCGAAACAGAAATAATCTTCAACGGACAAAACTGGCTATCACACGACCAGAAGTGAACCATTACCAAGATCATACAGATGTATATATCTCCCAGCAATGGGGATATTTTCCCCCCCACCTGAAGTAGAATGTAAACACGTGGGCCAGTTTGCAGGCAAACCACATAGTTGTTCTTATCGGGTACTCAGGAATGGGCCTGTATGGTGTTTGGACTAGATGGCGCGATGATATGGTCTATACTGTTCCTTTCTACAACACCATAATGAGGAAAAGTGATTTATGTATGGTTCTCTACAAAAAGTGTTTTGAATGGTTTACAACTGCTAAGAAACTCCATTTAGTAGAGGTCTTACTGATCAAGTTAGGTCATTGTTGACCTAGCTATTTATAATACGGGAGGGGAACTTTGACTAACTACGGTATACACCTAATATCTGGCTTGGACAAACATAGTGGGGAGGGGGGCAAAAAAGGGTACTAGTACATGTACTACTAGTACCTACTTGTACACATGAATGTAACACAAAGCCAGAGAAACTGCTAGCTTAGCTAAATTCTCACTCCTTTTTTGAGACATCAATGAACTGCCCTGTTAGTAACCACCATACAAACAAGAATTGTTCCTGAATCTAGCTGAGACCGTGTGGTATTTTCACAGTTGAGTTGTGATTTTTGTAGGTGTGATAAACCAGTTATCCGCCATCATTCTCCCTCAATACACCCTACAAATTTGGCAGCGTTCCAGTCTGGAGTGGGCCTGCCACAGACCTAACCAACAGTTGCTAAAGAGTCTCTTGAAATGTAACTGTAATTTAGTAAAAGACCAAAAGAGAAAATATAGCAAGCAGACATGATCAAAGCCTATTGCAGGAAGGCAAACTTGAATGTGAATGTATTCACTCCATAAAACCAATTTCTTCGCTTTTATTATGTTTTTTGAGTAAGCATATCATTTAAAAAAACCCAAGAACCAACAAATTAAATATGTGTGGCCTAAACTTCTGCAAACTTTTTTCGTATACATCCTTCTTTCACAACAACGGTTCACGAACAATATTAAAACAGACTTGATAAAATCAGAGAGCACAACGGAAAACTTAAATACGACTGTATTCACTACATAACACTGAGTACTTTCATTATGTTTTTCCAGTTAGCATATCTTCTAAAATAACCCAAGAACCAACAAATTCAATTTGTGTGGCCTAAACTTCTGCAAACTATTTTTACATACAGAGATGGATCCTTCATTCACAGGAACGTGCCACAAATAAAAAGTATCTACAAGTGCTACAATGCCTTGTGTATTGACCAACGGGTTACAAAAGGGTCATGTGTGGTATTCAATTACTGGAGTCCCTCCCACTGAAGATATGGTTCCAATCAAACAGGCTAGGATGACCTGTCAGATAAGATCATATCTTCACCTCCCACTGACAGACACTACAATAACACCAGTAATATCTATTGTCTGGACCGCCATGATAATTTTTGCTGCGATAGAAATATATGTAGACTATACATACTTATGTGTACAAGTATGTCAAAGCATTACTTGTATCCTGATAGCATGTTTGACATGTTATGAGACTGGATATGTAAAATTATACCAAAAAATAACATTCTTATTAATCTTAATGAAATGAAAAAGTTACAACGAGGGGCACGTGGCAGTTGATAGAAAAGTTGAATTCTTGAGTTTTAGTCTATGAAATTTTCCTTCGGTAATGAAGTATGTAAAAGAGAACAATAGCTTTACATGTTTGCTATACATACTAGTGGTTAGGACCCAAAACAGCCCTACCCCCCACCCTCCCACACCACTTTGTACCTTATTCATTACCTAAGCCAGCCTCCATCTCTGCTATTTGTGCCCCTAAACTCTGTCGGTCGCTGACTCAATTACATTAGCCTGACAACCTGCCAGCTCTTCCAGCTAAATATGTCATGGATCAAACAGTTGTAGTGAACTGAGTTAGGGCAGACTTCCAACATTATTTCCTATCGGGATACCCCCTTCCTCCCATGGAAAGTGTAGTTCAATAGGCACTACAGGGCTCAAAATGACACCTGTATATATGTTAGTGCAGGTAAAATTGGAGCTGTGAAGGTATTTCTGATCTGATATCCTACCTGCACCTTACCTGCACTGGTCCATGTACGGGGTATATGCAGGTCAGTTCAGGTAAAATTGGAGCTGTACACAGGTATTTCTTATGTCTACCTGTACCTTACCTGTACTGGTTTACGGTGAAACCAGCCCCAGACACTAGGGTGACATATTATTACCATTGGTGACCAAGAACTAGCCTCTACCAGGAGGCTGCAAACTGTACTCTCTAGCTGACCAACTCCTCTGGAATGTTATCTCTCTATTTGGCCGATTTCTACTCTTTCCAGTCGATTTCTACTCTTTCCAGCCGCCTCCCGAAGCCTGGTAGAGGCTAGCCAAGGACTGCATTTTAATTGCATTCTTCAAAATACTAGATAGTATCAGTAAAGACTGCAAAGAACTTGGTAAAACATTTTTTTTTAAATCTCAATTTTTGATGGCAGACTAAAGGCAAAGAAACTTTGGTGTAGGTAATACTTGTCTTGTAGTTGTAGTTGTACAGGCAATTCTGAATGTTACCTGCATCAGTGCATGTATGCAGCAAAAAGTACCGATATCTCAAGCCCTGCACTTGTTACTCTGACCCTGGCACACAGGTGGACATGGTTAGGTAGTCATGGTAACAGACTGGCAGGGAATATTTGTTGGAACTTTGAAGTGAGAAAATTGGCACAAAAAGAGCCCTAAACTACAACTGACATCAGGAAAGGCTGGAATTTTTATGTTTCCTTTTTATGTCACTGAGGAATTTAGTTCTGGCACACATAAATGTGTGACATGGCATTTGGATTAAAAAAAAAACAGGCGGGATAAAATAAAGTATATCAAAACTGGCCCCAAGGTGTGCTTTTATTTCCTGTTCCCATGTGGTAAATGTGTTTTAAATTGGGAACTGCTGTTCTTGTTATTAGAGGACTCAAACATGTTATGGTAGCTTGACTGTAGTCCTGTACTGACAGCTTTGTTAATAAATCTTTAAAAATAAATCTTTAAAAAAATATGATAAGCAGTTTTTATTCACAACTGCTTAACATCTTACATGTATCATACACACATTTTACATGTATCATACACACACATATAATAACAGTTTTAATACTTCTATTGATAAATCATAGAGTTAAAATGTCAGCAGGATATGTTTGTATCCGCAGACTTCAAATTTATACTCCATTCATAAAAACAACCCCATTACACTAATTCAATCACTTAGTAATTTATCTACAATGCACATGTATATTTTCTCTACCTTAAAACTTTTTCACCTTGTTTGAAACTTTGAGCTTTTCAACAAGCACTTGTCTTGTTTTGGTTGTAACAAATTTTACAAGATCACCAGTTCCCAAACTTGGCAATAGAACAGGTACACCCAGACATTTATGCCGATCAATTCAATAGCAGGTTGCTGTGGAACCAAGACATTTTTAATCACACGGCTTGTCGCGAATTAAAATTCCAAACTTTGTCTCAATCCCACAATGCGAAAAGGAAATCATGCCATACCTAGTGTAAACTTCTTACTTAGTCATCGCGCAACGAAACATTTTTCTTGCACGTCGACGTAAAACTAGAGTTACAGAAAGGTTCTAAACAGTTTGTAAAATTGATCTCTCACCAGGAAAATTGTTTGCATACTGGTAAGAGGTCGGTCATGTTGTTAGTTCCGTTACCTTGACAAAAACTGGTAATAGACTGTTTATGATGTAAAGCCTGAAGAGGCACTTAAACCTAACTACAACTAAGTCACGTTGGTCAGACAAATTATGACAACATAAATTGTTGCAGTAGCCAGAAACGTTTGATTTCTCTCCCTCACATATGGTCTGGATAATACTAATTACTGTAACGACCCTCTCTAAATGTTTGCGCAGTGTTTTCCCAAGGTCTGCTACGTTGAACGATTTGACACACCGTAGCTGACGAAAGATATATTTCATGAAGTAACGTTTACCAAGAGTCTCTTTTTTTCAGTTTTAAGAGCTAAGTACTCAAAGTCACAGGTA